AAAAAAAAAAAAAAAAAAAAAAAAGAAAGAAAGGGAGGAAATTAAAGAAAGCAAAATGAGAGAAAAGTGAAAAAAATATTCAAATGACCAACAGTGACTGAGACTTCTTAGGTCTGAGGATATGTGTGGGACGGCATGCAAGCATCATCTCTGAGCCAAACAACAGATCTGCACAGTAAGCATGGTTGTTATCCCCATCTGGCACTTTAAAAAAGACACAGAACCTCAGAGAAAGCAAGATGTTTGTTTAATGCCACACAGCTGGGGCGGGGAAGATCTAATTCTTAGAGCTAGCGTCACCTGAATTCAAAGCAAGGATGCTATTTCTGATACAACATCCAAAGCTCCAAAGAGCCTGGAGTTTTCATAAATGCCTTTGTTGTGTAGGAAAAGAGAAATGAAGCCAGAGCTCTTTCTGCGGAGGTCATGGAGTTGTCAGGGTCGCCTGAATTGGGCAAATTCCAGGGTTGGCAGTAGAGTGTTTGCGCTGTCCTTGACTAGATGCAGGCACTTCCATGGCTCTCGCGTCGCTTCACAGGGTAGGCCCTGTGGGTCCCTGAGCTGATGTTTCCAGAGCCTCGTTCTGCCGGCTCTTGGCTCCAGCTTAGACTTTGGTTCTGTTCATTCAGCAACAGCAGAGGTAGAAGGAGAAAGAAGACAGACACGATGAGTTCGTGCTTGGTTCACCCCTGGGTCTTTCTCAATCAGTTTGTGATGGAGCCAATGGCGCTGTCATTTTCTGACAGTTCCCTCTGATATTCCTCCCCAGAGCTACTGATAAGTGCTGGCCAATGGAATGTGTCATCTGTCTCTTTAGCTGAGGGTTTATTCTGGAAACTCCTTCCATTGTCTCTCTAAGTCATCATGTCCATGGGAAAAATGTCTTTTTTATTCCCATACATCTTTGAATTCTCCTTCACAGTGCTTGCTACTTCCTACCCTGAGCGTTCCTCAGGGCCTGAGGCCGAGTACAGCATGGTATCTTCTAAGACAGGGCCAGAGAGTCCCGCCTATGTCCAACAGCCCCTTGTCACAGAGAAGAGAGTGGCCACTTGTCCTTAGCGTGGGGATTCCCTGGGTGAACGGGCCTTTCATCACTCACGGGCACTTTCATCA